ACTGCGTGCAGTTTTGGGCGCCGCAGTACAAGAAGGATGTAAAACTGTTGGAGAGTGTCCAAAGGAGGGCAACAAAGATGACGAAGGGTCTAGAGGGGAAGACGTATGAGGAGAGGCTGAAGTCCCTTGGTTTGTTCAGCCTAGAGAAGAGGAGACTGAGGGGAGACCTCATCGTGCCCTACAGCTTCCTCACGAGGGGGAGCGAAGGGGCAGGCGCTGATCTCCTCCCTCTGGTGACCAGTGACAGAACCCGAGGGAATGGAATGAAGCTGCGACGGGGGAGGTTTAGGTTGGATATCAGGAAAAGGTTCTTCACTGAGAGGGTGGTTGGGCACTGGAACAGGCTCCCCAGGGAAGTGGTCACAGCACCAAGCTTGACTGAGTTCAAGAAGAGTCTGGACAATGCTCTCAGTCATATGCTCTGATTCGGTTGGTCCTGTGTGGAGCCAGGATTTGGACTCGATGATCCTTATAGGTCCCTTCCAACTCAGAATATTCTATGATTCTAGCCAAAATATGTTTCTTATTCAAGAAAGAATTGCCAATAATACAAAAATAATTTGAAAGAGGGAACATACCTCCCCAAAAGAAATAACTGTTTATACACCTGTCTTTCAGTAATTAAAATTTAGGTCTTGCTTAGCCAATTAAATTAATATTAAAGTATAATATTTTATTCTTGCAAGACTTTTCTACAAAATGCTTCCTAACACCAAACACCATATAAATTATTATCAAGTTTCAATTGTTGCATAAATTATCATTAAACACAGTATTAAATTACCTTATACTAGTAAATCCAGAACTCCAAATGAAATGTGCAAGAGATTCCATTTTATATAAATAACCAATACAAACAGCACATCCACGGGATATACTTGAGCTATACTGGAATATATACGAATATAATGGTGTGCACTTACTTAGCTATAAAATTAACTGTTATGTGATATAACTAGGTCTATTGATTTCCATTAGAGGACTTGCAGAGCTTTGAAATCTTTGTGAAAGGAATAAATGTTTAAATGTCACTCACCCCACAGAAATCTCATGAGAGTATATTCCATGATATTTCTAGGTGTCTGAGCAACAGCTAAAAGAAGCTGTTGCACAAGCTGTGGAAAACAACAGATTTGGAAAGGAGAGACACCAATGCAGTACTGAAGGTAAGGGAATAAGTGCATTCACTGAGACATGGTGATTTTGACTTAAAAGATATGTGGAATGAATATATGCTATAGTAGAATTCTTGGTAACCCAGAATAGAAAGGAAGAGAAGGACACCTCACAGAACAGCGCTCCTAACATGCCTCCTCAGATACGTTACCAGAGTGATGAGAAAAGACCACATCTGCCTGATCGCCAGCAGAAAATTTTGTGTAAACTTCCTCTCGCTCTTGCTCATCCTTTACAATTCATAATCTCTGCTTAAAGCTTTTCAAACAACTGTCGCTAGGTAACAGGACCATGATAGCAGGGAAGTGCACAATGCAGGCAATGTCCTGGGGACAGACAGTTTGTTAATCCCCTTGTGAGGAAAAGCATATGCAGTCATGGTTAGAGGTATTTGCTTAGTTCAGCTATGACAGCTCCCACAGTAACATATTGCAATGATACTCCTTTTTCTGTCCTCATTTCTTCTAAAGGACTAAAAGTAACAGACTCATCATCAGTAAAACTATACTGCTGATATATATATATGTAAAATATAATGCTGTTTTGCTGTACAAGACCAACTGTTGACACTCTGATCTACAAGCCTTTAATGCATAAATTATACCTTTGCATCAACCAATGATAGTATTTAGCTGCAAATTTAATCAGCTGAATCTTAGAAGTGAGCACTTTGCATGTATCTGAATAGACATTTTGAACATGTTCCTGATACAGGTGTTAAAAAGCTAGAAACAAGCTGGCATGGAAGACACCCAAGTGAAAAACATATAGAAAGGAATGCTGCTCATTGCAACCGCAGGACACAGAAGCTAATGACCCGCTCCAGCAGTGACAGCAGTTACAACCCTAGGTCCTCATGTGGTGCTGCATACCAACTGACTGACTTGAAAGCAAGAGTACATAGCATTGATGTACCAATTACCAGACAGCCTGGACTGCTGTACTCATTGTCTGGTAATAATTCAGAGAGAAATTCCCCTCCTACTTGTAGTGAGGGAGGTCGACCCTTGCAAAACACTAAGAAATCATCAGAGATCCTTGTTAGAAAACCTAAGTCATCAAAGCCCAAACCTCCACCAAGGAAATATTTTAAGCAGGACTGTATGTGTAGTGACCAGTGTAACACAGACAGGAAAGAAAAGCTTCTATCGGAAGTGGCTGTATCACCTTCTGCAAGCGTTCAGGTAAAGCAAAACTTGCAAAATTTTTCTTGTGTTTGCATATTTGTGAGGCAGGGGAAGGAGGAAGGCAAAGTGACTTTGTATGACGCTGGAAGAAAGGCAGTGAAGAAAGAAACTGTGCATACTGAGGACTGGGGAAAGGGGATGAGGCTCTTCTGTTTTGGAAAAAAAAACGTATATACGTTAGCAAAGCCACAGTTCAGTTCAAAACATGATGTTCAAACTAAGGTCAGAAGGTAGAGAAGCCTCTGAAGGAAATTTTCTTCCTTATCAAGGAATCTGATTAAAAATCCCAGTCAGAGCAGCAGCAAGATTGCATTTGAGTCACTGAGTGCACTGTCATTCCTCGCAAACATGAACCACTGGTGGTACTGAGCACTCTCTGGTTCCAGTGCAACTGGAACAGCAATGTGCTCTGGGCTGGGACTGAAAGAGTTTGCCCAGCCTCTGCTGTCTGCTTGGTGTGGTTGATCTTAACCTCGACGCTCATAGAGTCAAATCTTTTACAAAGAAAAGAATTCATAAAACAATTTCTTTGTTTCGGTAGTGGATTTTTATTGGAAGGAAGCACTAACATTATGTTTAGCAGTAATCTTGGGCTCATATACATTTCTTGAGACCAGGAGGTACTAAATAAACTCATTTAAATTGCAAGGCGCATAGATATTTGTTGATGAGCTACAGCATTTGAAAATTGAGTATGTATTTGTATGTTACTAAATTTCAGTTCTCTCTCTTATCTAAGAGCAGAAAGAGAGTTTCACATTTGCACGAGTGTGAGGGATTGTGAGATCTGCATGTTGAAACAAAGTTGTGGTTTGTCTAAAAATGAAGCCTCTTTCCTCTGGGTTTAGCAATATGGCAGTAGAAATGAGCAGTTTTCAATGTAATGCAAAAAAATCCACCCCATAGTTCTCAAGCTGCAGAGACCAAAATAAAATGATACAGCTCAGACTGAAGCCCATGTCTAATGTTAATATCTAAGAAAATTTCAATTCAGCACCTCATGTAAGGTCATTCTTTTACCATCCCCTAAGAAGAGAGCAGTAGAAACATAATCACCAACAGCTACTAGAAAATCACCTTTCAGAGGTAAAATTCAGGGAAATAAGTTCTTGTTGAACTTATCACTGTAAGCAATTTATTATTCTGCAGCACTTAATTATTCTAAATGATAAGGAGAGAAAAAGAAATCTTGAGGTCAATAAAGTCTATGAAAACTCAAGCTCTGTTAATGAAAATAACTTCCTTTAGTAAGGCAGTCTGTATATCGCAGGGCAATAGCTCATTTAAGTCCCCAGGACTTAAAGTCCAGAGGGTTCCTTGCCAGAATGCATTTCATATCATTAAGAGAATGTTTTATTACTGCTTTTTAAATTATTTTTTTTTCACCTTTATTCCCCAGACATTTTGTATTAGTCAGTTTAAGGCCCACATACCACAGTTTTACAGGGGGTTCAGC